TGCATTTCGGATTGTGAGGGCGTTTGTTACTTCCCGGCTGCCCACACCGTGGAAGTTGGTTGCGTGACCGCAGAGCCCATGGGACAACTGCTTGAGGCCGGTCACACGCGGCCTGTTTTTGTTTGTTCTGTTTTGTTTGGTGTGCCTCAGTAGCATACTTATCACTCCTGCCCTGTGACACGGCAGCAGGAAGCGCGGTCGTTGTTAAACCGGGCCACGGCCGATCCGGCATGAAATTTTGTGAATTTGTTTGGATCATGGTATTGGATGGGTAGCTGCTTTTTGTTTAACCGCTATCCAAACAACCTGCCTGGCATGGTAGAACCTCAAGAGACATAAGTCTCAGCCAGTATAGCCTGATTAGGTCATTGCGGTGTTCAAGCCCGACCACCACGTCAAGGTAGCAGCTTTCGGTCGGGGCACTCCACACTGATTTTCTAAATCATTTCGCACACCTGTCGCTGACTGAACAAAACATTCAAGTTCACTGATCTTTTCACTACTTCGCTTATTCGTAGATTCCAGCTCGACGATTTGAGTTACCACTCTGCAGATTTCTTTCTCCTTCAATAAACAGAAATTCTCAGCAGCTGAAAGTTTGACTGTTAAATTTTTATTCGTCGCCTGTAAACGACCAACCAATTCATCGCTACTTTTCAAGCTCTCTTCAACCTCTAACAAATTTGTTCGTGTTTTAGACAGATCGCATCTTCTACTTGATCGAACGCGAACGACAGATCGCATCGTAACTCGGCCACCTCATTTTTTAAAACACGTGATACAGTTGACGCTTGAATTGCTGAACTTGTAGTGTAGGTTTACATCAGATGCGATTGAGTATTGTGAAATGTTGAAAGACACACTGACTCCATTTTACTAGACAAATTGGGAGAATCGTAAAATTCTCAGTAACATAAGTATTTGAACTTCTTCAAACAGACTTGATGTGTCTAACTTTACCACATTTATGATACTTAGCACCCCGAAAAAGGTAAGTGCTTCGTAGATGTAACTTTCCACAGGAAAACACAGTTTAATGGTTTTGCTCTCTCGCTGCATTCCATTACATGTGGACGAAAGTTTGGATTTCTTTCTATGAACACTTGTATTATCAACTTTGGACAGCATGACATCAGATACTGACGTAGTGGGAGCTTGATATTCACTGTTGACACCTTCATATGTAATACATAAATCCTTAGAAGTTTGAAAGGAGCAGGAAGGAATCTGAATCAACACTTTCTCTGACTTAGGAATATTGATTCCAGCAATTAGATGATCACGTAGTTGAGTATGCAGCTGATCTCCAAAGTTGCACTTTGAAGCTTGTATCTGAAGCTGAAGAATAAATTCTCTAATCTTCTGGTTGGAAGCACGAACAAGTTTATTGGACTGAGCCCTCTCTCGCGTTTCGAACGTCGTTATGTGGAAGTGATTTGTTAAAAGTTCACGGAGTTTATCATATGACAGAGAAATTGGTTTATCTGGAAATGACTGAGTTTTCATTAGGCTGTACGCATCTAGCCCGATAGCAGTAATAAAATGAGCTGGAATTTTATCATCGCGAACATTCTTTGACATGCAACATGCGTCGAAGCATTCAAGAAAATCGGCGATTTCCCGTGGTGAACCATTTATTGGAAAATTTCCAAGATTATTTAATTCCATAGCGACGCAAAAATGTTGTAATTATTTGTAATAGTAGTATTTGTATTTCGGAATCACCGAATTAAAGGAATTCAACCAAAACACAGAGAGGGATGAACTTAGGAATTTGTATTTGGCCGAATTATATATCACTCAATCTGTAAGAACTGGCGTGGAATCATGCTCTTGTCCACGCCGATTAAAATACTAAGTCGCATCATCCTGTAGAGAATAGAGAGTGCACTGGATACATAAATCAGCCAGCCACATCGAAGCAAGCTGGCTGGATTCAGGAAAGCTCATCAAGTTGCGACTCTATGCATCATCATCGCAGAACGCAGCCTAGAATAGAATGTCGGTCAAGGCCCACTCCACCTCAGTTTCATCATCTTCGAAAACGCCTCCGACAGACAGCGTAGACTGAAATGTAATTTGGAAACTACTTCAACACTACGGCGTACAGTGTCCGAGGCTTTGTCATCCTCATCGAACAGCTGCCCCTATGGCAGCGTCACGTGTCAGGTGATCCACAGTGGGAAACTCAGCGAGGCGCTCGAAGTGAATTCAAGAGTAAGACAAGCTGGCTGCCTACTATCACTGATGATATTCCTCATTGCAGTGGACTGGATTATGCGTCAGAATGTGCATTGGCAGTGAAAAGACAGGAATACGCTTGACCACAGATACGAAGACTTAAGAAGATCTAGATTTCGCGCCTGGATGATGTATGTCTACTGTCACACAAACTCGAAGAATTGCAGCTTGAAATCGACAAACTGGATGAAGAGGTCAGCAGCGAAGACAGCACTTCAAGTTAACATAGAGAGGACGAAGTTGATGAATATAACCAACGAACCACAACAACAATAACAACCAGCACCAATCACCATCAACATGAGAGACTTTCACCAATAGCTTCCACCTTCACTGACTGACTCCATAATGAAGATCGAATGGCCAGAAAGAAAGGATAAGCGACAAGAAAACTCTGGCTGATAACAAACCAACGGAGCAAGACCCGATTACTCAACAAACATGTAGGAGGAAATGGAGATGGATCCAGTACACGTTGAGGCTATCGTCGAATGACGTCGCGTGCAATGCAGGCCATCGCTCGAGTGGTATTCCGATGGGAAGCGGAGAGTCAATCGTCAGTGCGAGGGTAACATAGAGGAGATCGTGTGAGATAGACATAAGAGAGTTTACTGAATCGTGGATCCAGCTGAAGAGGATGGCGTAAAATACAGCAAAGTGGAGCTGTGTTATTCGGAATCAAAATGAGAAGTAATAATAATAATAAATGATTCGACTGGACATTTAAATCATTCCACAACACTTACAATGCTCACATTCTCGTTATATGTGTAACTTTTATACCATTTTGTATATGCTTTTCTGTCTATAACCTTCTGTCTATTCTAATAAAGACCAGTTAAAGAAGAAACTCACTGGACTAATGGCATTTGTTGGGAAGCCTTAAGCATGCATCACAAATATACTCCTAATTTCATCATTCGATCATTTCATTAGACTTATCACAGAAAATAGTTTTATCTGTAATAGACATACAGCCTACATCATTTTACAAAACCTAATAGATAACACGCGTTAAAAACATCCACTGTATATCAGGTCAACGTCACTCAACTGAATCATCTTCAATACCACCCACGAAGTTGTCACTCATTAGTCATTCACCAAGATAAACGCTTAGACACCAATCATCAGATCTTGAGGGACAACTTCATGTCTAAAAACGTGTCAAACAGTGTGTAACTGTACTATCAAACAAAAACATAAAATACACCTTATGTGAAGACAATTTACTATTAAGTGTTATTTATTTCTAATAAAATAACTGATGTACGAGTGATGTGATTGATTCGAAACAGTCACACAAGAAGTCGAATGACCTAATTAAATTGAGGTAAACATGTGATAATAAACTGTGATTGTGTAACAGGTAAAAACTATATAAATGCTACAGTTATATTTAACGAATCAGTTCATCTGTCGCTAGAGAAATTGGTACGTCTAACTGCCATCATTATTAATTATTAATATTAATATTGATTATTATTATTACAATCACCATTAAACACCTTTGTACTTCATACATTTATTACGCTCTATGAATCTGAACGAAGCCAGAACAACAGTTTTGCAGAGTAGAATGGTACCATCATTTATTTTGTCGGCTTCTTATCGCCTGCTCACAACTCAAAGACATCAATAATTAAACGGATATAAACAATCTTGACATCCTTGCAGAGTTCATCTTTAAACAAGAATTATTCAGTCATTATATGTATATAATGCTGGTAATAATATTAAACACTTTATTCTGAACAATAATGATCATACACAATGGAAACATTCGACATTGTGTAATCAGATGAAAGACAGGATGAAAATGTCGAGTTAGAAGTGAAAAGAAACACTGACATTCGCTTCTTTCTCAACGCATTAATCGGATTCAACCCGCTTCATGGATATTGCTTCGGCAAACTTGAGGAGAATTAAACACTGTTCCTCGCCTACTGATAGGTTTGAATGATCTTTCGAAGTCCACCTCATGACGCGTGTCAAGGAGATTCCTGGCGAGGGCACTGTTCAAAGCATCTGTTCCCTTCAGACATAGGCCCTTTAGTACAAGTTTAGAAAATCGTAGGTTTGCCATTCTTTCTGTTCTCACAATGTAACTGCTTCCGCAGATACATGTAAATTTGTAAATACAATTGAAGTTAACGTGACAAGGATATCAGTCTATTTTTGACTGTACCAAAAAACAAGTTGTTCGATAGATGGAAACCAGCTTGGCTGCATGATAGGCTCTGGCTAGCCATGTTCTCAATATTCTGCTCACGGGTGCTGTAATATTATTCATGAACCTTTGACGATAAACATTGCTTCCCAACATCTTTCATATTTCATGGCTGGAGAAACAGTCCTTAAATATTTAAGTGTAAAATGCACAAATTATAATGGCAAATTGTAAATTACGCACGTATCTATCTCTAACACTTTACAACATAATTAGAATATACGGTCTGCATTGTCCTGTCCAACTTTTGACTACTTAATGTGTCTACGTAAGTATATTTCTCTTGACATTGTGAGTCCGATACACGCAATAAGTAATCGGCTTTCAAAGTCCAGAAATAATTATCGTTTCCAGTTAGCCTCGGTTATTCTGTGCGTTAAAGTTATATATACCAAAGAAGTGAGGATTACAAGTATACGCGATATTATCATCGTATTTTCATTCTGTTCATCGCATCAAACTTGTTTTCCTTCTTTCTTCATAGAATTGTTCTCATCTGGTTGATTACTGCGAAAAGTGTGTGAAAATTATGCGAAGTATCCTCTTGTTTCTACTAATCGGTGCTGACATTTATAATGTTCACATAAACAGTAAGTCGGCTTGAACTGAGTTATTGTTACACGTACATATGAACTGATGTCCTACTTTGCTGTATTAAAACACATAGAACACGATTAATCAAGCGTAGTATGCCGATAGAAGTTTAATCAGCCAAACATTCAAACACTTAGTCAGGAATATTCTCTCTCATTGTCTCGCTGACAAATACGTCTCGATCTGATTGTTCCAAACTTAACAGCTACTCTTCGGATATCAGACAATGGTCTAAGCTAAATGATTTTTGCTTCAACACCTCTAAATTTCAGTCAATTAACTTGACATTAAGGTGTAGATGCTTCAAAAGCTGTTTCCAGCGAAGAGGGTACTGAAACAGAAACTTAGTCAAGCATTAAATACCGTGAAGTAGAATTATCCCCTGACCTCTCTTCCTTCGTCATCATGTATCATATCGATTTCCAAGAACACTTCCCATCTAATCTTCTACATTAAGACGTGGAGACAACGAGATATGACTCAGCCACTACTTTACAGCTTGTTAACGTATGATTTTAAAAATAATATCAATATCACTGCTTTGCACATTTTATGAAATTCAGGCTTTATTTCATATTACTGCTGAAATGCACAAGCGAGAAAATTAGAATCGGTTTTGCAAGTAAACGCTTGAAGTCACATGAAAATATCCCTTGTAGTCCCCCACTTGAGATTCACTTCGGAAAGCTCTTAGGAGTGTGTTGGAAATCGCGGGTATCTTCTGATGGATTTTATAGGACTATTTAGCACAGATTAGTTTGGCGTCAAAGCGTTGCTCATGAAAGTGATACTGATTTTGTGTTTAGGATTAATACTCTTGATCTGACAGATATATTACTCTTTCATTACACTTTATTATTTCTTGAACTTCCAGAAAGGGAAACACTGAGCAGCTCAGAAGCTAGTAGCCTGATTTTGTGCATTCTTTTCGAAATAATAATTCTGCAGTTATTCTCGAGAAATTATCTGGGAATAACATAGTCTGACTGACATAAAAGTTGGTCTAACTATGTGCGGATTGTTATCAAAATAAATTACTTAATTCCATATTTTGAATGTGATTGAACCTGTTTCAATTATTTTACGCTGTGCACTAGGTATTCCGTTGAACGAAAATAGACTTCCACAATATCCACCCTTCGCTGGACCACAGCCACCATTCGGACCTCCTCCACTATTCGCACCACCTCCACCATTCGCATCACCACCATCATTCGGACAACCGCCACAGCTCGCACCACCTCCACCATTCGCACAACCTCCTCCATTCGCACAACCTCCACCATTCGGACAACCACCACAATTCTTTCCACCGCCATCAGGTGGGCAACATCCACAATTCGTTCCACCGCCATCGAATGGGCAACCTCCACACTCTGGGCCACCGCCATCAGGTGGGCAACCTCCACAAATTGTTCCACCGCCATCGAATGGGCAACCTCCACACTTGGGCCACCGCCATCATTCGGCAACCTCCACAATTCGTTCCACCGCCATCGAATGGGCAACCTCCACACTCTGGGCCACCGCCATCAGGTGGGCAACCTCCACAAATCGTTCCACCGCCATCGAATGGGCAACCTCCACAATATGAACCAACTCCACCATTCGCACAACCTCCACAATATGGACCACCTCCACCATTCGGACAACCACCACAATTCGTTCCACCGCCATCGAATGGGCAACCTCCACACTCTGGGCCACCGCCATCAGGTGGGCAACCTCCACAAATCGTTCCACCGCCATCGAATGGGCAACCTCCACAATATGAACCCCACCATTCGGACAACCACCACAAATCGTTCCACCGCCATCGAATGGGCGACCTCCACAATATGAACCACCTCCACCATTCGCACAACCTCCACAATTCTCACCACCGCCATCTGATGGGCAAACTCCTCAGTTACCACCACCCCCTCCTCCAGGATCCCCACAGGGATCTGCACCGATTTACCAACCACCTTCAGGTGGACAGTCCCCTCCACTCGGACTACCAATGTCCGGCAATGACGGATCGAAACCCTCACCTCCAGCTGAATCTGAACACCCATCAGCGGAGAAATAAACAAGAATCTCATTCCAAGTGAAAACATTGGTATTTCTATGATTTCGCTAACACTCGATACGTTTCGCTTATGAAAACATCCAGATATTTCTGTCTACAAATGAAAAGGTAGAGGAATAAAACGTGTTCATTCACATTTATCAGAGATATCAGTACTCGTTCATAATTTTGTTTACCATATGTTATTTTTATATGACATCATCACGATTTGTATAAATGTGAATCACTCTCATTCTCTTTCGTTCGCATCACACCCTTCTCATTTCGACAGTAAATTGTAATCATCTTTGTCGAACTATTTGTTCTATTCTGTTTAGTTTTAAATAATGTATCAATTTCACCTTCCAGTTTCGTTATTAATAAATGTATATATTATACTTATTTCGAATGCAGAAGCCAGCTAGTGATTATTATTATTATTATTTGATACATTTCATTATTGCAAAGGGTTTCCAGTGGAATTCGGCGCTTCAACAGCCCATGTCCACCTCACCGAGTCCTCTGGAGTAGTTTCCGGCTGACTTAATGAATCCCCATACGCCTTCATTTGCTCCTGAGGCGATGTTCTATATTTTAACCTTAGAAAAACACTGAATTCGTCATTTCCCGTTCGCATTTCATTTAAGTTTCTTCTTCGTATCAGTCAAACAGTCTTATCAGGCCATATCCAGTACATCCAGGTTTCCTGGCGCATATTGATTAGTTCTTGGTTCGTCCAATGACGAAGTTTTTTGTTGTAAGTCTCTCCTCGAAATTCAATCTTCGCTATCGAACCATCAATTCATCGTAGGATGGTGAGATGTTCACAATCGACACTGTAAAATGCAATATTGTTTATGTGCGAACGTAACAAAGCGTCTGCAACTTCATTATTGTTACCTTTTACGTGTCTTATATCTGAGTTGAGATGCAATATGAACTCAGGATTTCTTAGTTCACTGGGTGAGTTGTTGTGTTGTCTTGCTAATAATCAGCTGTTAAACGAGAAGACACTCACAGTCAGAAGCAAAGATAATGCGCATTTTTTCCCTCATGCCGAACAACTCAAACGTTGCCATTAGGGCGGTTCTGCCACAACAAGTACTCGGTGAATGCCAGCCCTTCGCATTCTTTTCAAAACGACTGATTCCTACTTAGTGTCGCTATAGCACCTTCGGTGGAGAATTACCAGCTGTTTATCTGGCCACCAAACACATGCTTTCCACATGCTGGAAGGTACAGCTTTTACTGTCTTCACGGATCACATGATGTAAGCGCTGTATTTACGTAAGCAGTCAGTAAACCGTTGCGAAACTATTGCGCATTTTGGGATAGAATAACGTTAAAAACTGATGAATAACCTTGAAATTCTTGTATCTTCTTTGAACAGTAAGGTAGCGGATTATTCCTTATACCATTCACATTGTCAGGGACTGGCACAATTCCTCGACAATCGATCAAGTGCCTAAGGAGTTCCAATGACTCACTCACAAAATGAGTTCAAAATATGCAAAGTGTATAGATTCAACATAGTTAGGAAGCTTATTATCCGGAATGAGTTTCCATACGTCCAGTTAATAAATTCATGCAGTACTTAATGGGGTTTCGATTATAACTCTATAGTTATAATAATGTTTTCACGTTCTGTTATGTGGTGACGCTGTTCACTGCCAAAGAAGAACAACACTGTATTGAGAAGCACAAGTGGAAAGATGTGTTGTTAACGAAATCAAATTTCCAAAACCGCGAGGCGAACGCGAAAGTATCTAACCGCGTAAGATAAATGTGTAACAAACGAAGAGCAATGTTCAGAAATACAACGTCAGATATTCCACAAACACTTGTAAAATTATTCTCCGTAAACGTATAATATGTGTACGTGGATTTGTAAAGGATTATAAACTTACAGTTTGAGCAAACACAGAATAAGTTGTCGCGTTTCATTTGCATGGAACAACCATTTGAATCTTCTATTTACTTGCTCTACATTTCCACAGTCATAAGCGTTACCGGAAAAATGGCTTGATTTGTGCTGAAAATTGTCTCGAAACAACCATCTTGCTTTCTGTCTAAATTATATCCTGCATTTTTTCCTAAGACTGAATATTCGGCTTTCGACGAATCATTTCACACACTCCATGTGGCAATGAATTCACAAGGTAAAAGAATATATAGTCAAGATTCAAACATAAGTTACTTTGAGCAGAGAGAGAATTGCGAATACGCCCAAGTCTACAGGACTCAATGAAACATATGCAGTGTTTACAAGAAGGCTTACACTTCAGTTTCGTTAATGGAGAAAATTACCTCTCACTTGACTAACTCCCATGTGCTCACATCATCTTCTGTATTCAGAAGAAACAGCGCATTAAAAACAAAACCGGAGTTAACGATATCACCTATGAAACGTCTATCTTTGGGTATCATTTAAGTGCACTTGCGGTAGCCAGTAAATCTGTAGTGCACAGAACGCAAAATGATCTTGTGTCAGGTAACACATTACTAAGCGATGTATACTTTAAAGTAACACTGCAAATAAGTCGAAATTGTGTACTAGCTCTATGATTCCGGTCGAAAACATGAAGCATTTCGACTTTGTGTAGCATAAAATTTCTGATCCTACAGATTCATGCTGGTTCCTGAAAAATGATCGATTCCAGTTGCATAAAATAAACATGATTTTGAATATAAAATGTCCCCCATTGCTGGTGATGAAAATGACGAATTCATGCCAGATTATCAATCAAATAATATCTCAAAATTAGCAGTATGAGTAACATCTATCTTAGTCAACCGCCGGACTATTAATACTATTAAAAGATACACTTAACAGGCTGAACCGTATAGAAGCTATGAGGGCTAGATTTCGACATCTTTTGTACATCGCCTAAATTCACTAATAGTCACAACCCCTTAGTGGGGAATTAAGTTGCAATCGATTTGTATTTTTCGAGTTACACCTAAGTAGAGGAGAAACATCATCATTTTATAACACTATTCAAATTATTTATACAGATCTGTGGTTTCGCATTTTCTGAAATGGCTGAACTGAAACGCTTGTGATGAAATCGTGTACCTGGAATTCATGTTTCTCGCATTAGTAAAGGATTCCATACTACAGAATTATTGTTGTTATTTCTGTCTAAATTTGATAGCCAATTAAAAACAGTTTCAAGTATTGGTTTGTAGGGATTTGATTGATTGTTTATAGAACTTCATCATGAGCTGATATTAGTTGGAGAAACACTGGAGGACCTCGCAATACTCGACAGCTGTTTCCTCATCAGTACGCACCCACCACCAGGGTTCAGACACAAGACATTATGGTTACAAGGCGAGCTCGTAGACCAGTGGCTTAATGGTCGAGACAACAAAGATAGCATAATATTGTTGTGATCAATCACCCATTTCATCTTAACTGGAGGCTAGTTCACAGTTACGCTCAATCGACTGAGCTGTGCTGCGATAGACATTTTATGTATATACTTTCTAGAGTTTACACAGATGGACAGGAGGACATGAGGTCTATGCATTTTAGAATGAAGTGCTTCATTGCTTCTTGTTGAATCTCATGATTATTTTCTGGGCCAAATATTTACCGTGTGCACTTCAATGACATGAATGTGAATCCCGTGTTCAGTGAATACAGGTCAAAGTTCTCTTCTAATCACACAGTCAATAAAACAAAGATAGAGTATTTGACCTAGATAATAATATTGGCATCATCTCACTCCTACAGTTTACTCAGTCATTCTCGTAAATGCGTTCATTTTATAGTAAATTGTTGGTTGAATTCGAATTTTAACATATTCGCATTTGAGTTAGAACAAGAGGAGTGAATTTAACAAACAACAATTGACGAGTAGTAGTTCCATTTTGATAACATCAGTATTGTTTGATCACATTCTGCTGAAAAAGTGGACAATCTGCGACATACTTGAGTGACTCAAAGCGTGAGGTTGACATCACGGAAGATAATCGGACAGACAAGTCAAGAGAACATTTTGGGAAGAGTGAAAAGAACAACCACCTCCATCATGCTAGAAGTGAGAAACGTAACCTTGAGGTAAGACTTTGTTTATTCAATAATTTATTGAGTGTGGTTTCGCGAATTAGTATATCACTAAATAAAAAACAAAATAGGAGGCAGCTTCAACAGAGATAACACCAGAAGGTGTGAGGAAACTGGATATTCTTTTGCCCCGAATATTATCTGTCTTCAACATCGTCACATTACACTTTCATGTGATCTTTGACAATTACTCACGTTTACGGTATTAAATCTCTGAAGAGATTCTATCCCTATTCTACTTATAAGCTAATTTTGAGATACAAGAATTGTAAGCCTTCTGGAACAGTATGTCTCTTGCATGATGTCAACATAATCGCCATACATGAGACAGCTGATAAGTATTGACAGTAGTTGTGTTGCACTGTGTTTCGGAGTAATATCAATCAAACACACGTGGCTGAAGGAATTAAGTTGCAGTAACATTTCATGAATCACCTATCTGTCTCTACCGATCAGCTAGTTAGACAAGCATATGGTGGTCTCTGATCGGAAGCCATGATTAACATTGTCGTTTTCACAATGCTATTGTAGGTCATGTTGTCTGATAATCAAACTGAAATAATCTGTGGTGTTCTGGTTATAACTCTGTTGTCG